TAGCAGAGAACAGACATGTCTGGTTTTTTTTGGCTTTATCAGTTCTGTGTAACTGTTCCACGCACACCATGATTCAGGAGATGATGATGGGACCACAAAGAGGTCCCCCCAAGGATGCGTGGCTACCCCCAGGGTCACCGTTCCCAACGCTGGTTCCACTGCAGCCCTTGGTCTGACTCTGAAGACCCAGCGGCCCGGGCACAGGGAAACGTCCGCTGCACACAAATGTATTTTCTTCTCTTTTCTTTCTCTTTGGGGCCTGCAGGAATCATCTTAGACAAGAAGAAATACACCTCGAGCATCCATTCATCTGAAACACTATTGGGAGAATGGGTGACGGCCAATTTGGTTAAAGACTAATGACAACACTTAATGTCAATGACTAAGGTCTGTGCACGCCCCCCCTCCCAAAACACCGAAGTTTAAAAACACATTTGCCAGCCTGACGCGTCATACGTATCACTGAGCTGTCTGATGTGACAGGACTTCAATGTCTGTGAAGACAGAGTACGTATCCCTTGGTCATGCCGTCTACCCTGGCTGTATCCATCCATCCATCTCTGCTTACCATTTGGAAGAGTTCTTTCCTTATTCTATGGACAACACCCTCTCCTCGTTATAAATTTTGTAAATGGGCTCCCTGATTGGCTTGTTTTACCTTTTACGTTTACACAAATACATCTGACATACAGCAGTTCTGGTACCCTTTGTTGTGTGTAATTAAAAATGGCAGACACGTGAAGCAATCATCTATGTCAGTATCTGGAGACGTTTTTCGTTATCACAAAGGCAAGGAGGGTTGGCGCGGGGGTGGGGGTGCTCCTGGCACCTGGTGGGTGGAGACCAGGGATGCTGCTCCACACCCCACAGGGCACAGGACGCCCCTCATCTGAGGGTCATCCAGCCCCAGATGTCAGTCATGCCAAGATCTCGACTTCTAAGATTTTCCTACACTTTAAATTTTACCTTTATCTTCAAAATCTACCTGGAAATCATGTGGGTATGTGTCCAACTTTTACATAAAAGGATCACACCATTGCCTTTCCCTGACACGGCGACGTGATGAATTAGTGATAGAGGTTTATACCATGAACTATCCTTGCTTTCTTATAGCAAGCATCATTTCTTTCCTTTTTTGTCTTCTTTATTTTATCGAAGTACAGTTGATTTACAATGTTGCGTTAGTTTCTGCTGTACAGCAGTGACACAGTTATACATACGTATACATTCTTTTTCATACTCTTTTCCATGACGGTTCATCACAGGATACTGAATATAGTTCCCTGTTCTATACAGTAGGACCCTGTTGTTTATCCAGCATCATTTATTTCTTTACTCCAGGGCCAGAGTTGCCTTGTTGATAACCTGTACTGGGGGGCTTTTCTCATCTATATGGAAACACAGTCAAATCTGTAGATCAAGTTTCCGTATCGAGGTTAGCACAGTGTCTTAAAATAAAGGAACACATTGATTTTTTCCCCCCTAGGCTCTCAGATAGTTCTTTTTGCATGGAAATTAATTGATTGTGCCCAGTTTTACAGAACATCCCTTACAATTGCCCAGGCCCAGGTCCTTCCCCCAGATAAGCCTTTGATAACATTCTCCATGTCTCCCACTGTTACTGGTCCACAGAAGGGCTTCACTTCTTCTGGTGTCATGTGGGTCATCTGAATTTCCTTAGAAGGATCAAGTATTTTCTACTTTCAATTTTATCAGCAAAGTGTTCTACGTAGTATTTAAGTTTAAAATTTAAGTCGCATCCAGCCACTGTGGAAAACAGTGTGGAGGTTCCTTACAAAACTAAAAACAGAGCTACCTTATGATCCAGCAATCCCACTCCTGGGCATATATCCGGAAAAAACTCTAATTCAAAAAGAAACATGCACCCCCCAATGTTCACAGCAGCACTGCTCACAGCAGTCAAGACATGGAAGTTACCTAAATGTCCGTCGACAGATGAATGGATAAAGAAGATGTGGTACATGCATACAACGGAATATTACTCAGCCATAACAAAGGATGAAAGGATGCCATTTGCAGCAACATGGATGGACCTAGAGATGGTCACGCTAAGTGAAGTACGTCAGAGAAAGACATATAACATACGATAGCACTTACACGTGGAATCTAAAATATGATACAAATGAACTTATTTACAAAACAGAAACAGACTCACAGACATGGAAAACAAACTTATGGTTACCAAAGAAGAAAGGGGGGAGGGATAAATTGGGAATTGGGGATTAAGAGATACACACTACTATATATAAAATAGATAACCAACAAGGACCTTCTGTAGAGCACAGGGAACTCTACTCAATATCCTGTAATAACCAATAAGGGAAAACAATCTGAAAAAGAATATATATGTATGTACATATAACTGAATCACTTGCCTGTACACCTGAAAATCATACAACATTGTAATTCAACTATATTTCAATAAAAACGTAAAAAAAAAAATCTTTAACTTAGCTTAGGACAGTTGCTTCTCAAAGTTGCCCTCTCCCCCCCCAAAATAACTGGCATCTGAATTTCCGTAGTTGAGACAAGACATGGTCCCCACACAGCGTGTTGTCTACAAGGATTCTGAAGTTGGCCACACCCCTGGCAGAGCCTCCTCCTTTAATAACGACCGGAGGACAAAATGTGCAAGTGTCTGAGGCCCCCCCGGACAGCCGGTGGTCCGGGCCCACGAACCATGGCTGGGACCTGCATCTTCGGGAGGAAGGACCAGGTGTGTGTCTGAGTCTTACCTGAGCAGGTTGGACACCTGAGGGGTGACCAGCACCACCAGCCTCCTGGTGGCCCTGTGGTCCCGCAATGATTGCCCCAGCACCAGGGCCCCCTGGCAGTAGACGTCATTGGTAGCCAGCGTGACAAACGCTTGGTCAGACACTGTGGACGCAGACAAAAACAACAGGGTTATGTTTTCGACGGGTCTCATGGGACGGCGGGGCTGAGGGTCACCTCCAATTCTCTCAAGTTTCACAACTCTAACTCAGTAACTGTTCGCTGTTCTAAGATACGCATCGAGGACATTTCACATGCATCCTTTTGTTTCAAAATAAAGCAAAAAAATTCTTCTTTAAACCGAGAAAAAGAAAAAAAACCACACACACACACACACACACACACAGGAAAAGAGGAAGCCCTAAACACGAGTGAGACAAAGCCAAGAGGGGCATCATTAAAATTCCCTGGTTCAGATGAACAGATACAAACTACTGTACGTAAAATAAACGTGAGGTCCTACTTGTAGTGCACAGGGAACCATATTCATTAGCTTGTAATACCCTATCAGGGAAACGAGTCGAAATAATATAGATATATACGTACAACTGAATCACTCTGCTGTACACCTGAAATCAACACAACGTTGTAAATCGTCCAGACTTCAATTTTAAAAAACCTTCCTGGTGCTGCCACACAGCAAATGGGCATAGCTCAGACCCCTTACGTGATTCTGCATTCAAGTCTCAAAAACTCACCCAAAATAGGTGGGTCTTGGGCGAACACAAAGCAACAGGTGGAAACAGAGCTTTGGATTTTCTGAGTCACTGTGAGGACTCCCACCCAGCTCAAAAGAACTGGGCTCTCAGAAGGAATGGCCAAAGCCATTAATTAAATTCCACACAACCCACTTGTTGGAAAGACTTCAACTCGAGGATATATGAGGCCGAGGAGTTGGGAGAAGGGAAAATATATTGTCTCATTAACCAAAAGGCTCTCAGTTTCCTAATGTCTCCACAGCAGAGGAAGAAACTCAGACGGCCAATCCGATTTATGGCAGTTTTGAATCTAAGTGGGAACTCGTGACATTGACTTTAACGGGGACTTTGAAGCAGTGTGAGTCTGGGACCCCCAGGAGCTGGTTGCCAGGATAAAAACAAAGGGATCAAGAAATCCAGGCCTTGGCTCCCCTGCTGTCGACCGAAATTAAAATTCACAGCCCACGGCTGGAACACACAGAGCTCAGTTCTCAAAGACCAGACGGTCTTCCCCTCCAGCCACCGTGCCCTGCCCAGAGCACGGCCCAAAGACACCGTCACGCCAAACAGAACACCAGGACCCAAGCTTCTGGAGCCGGTTTTCCTGCAGCTGGCATCGTACCCTTGACATTCCACTGGGGTAAACGCCCAAGTGTGCCTGTTCCAACAGCTCCTGTCTACACATTACCCTGTATTAAGAGGGAATGAGAATTCCTGGCATTTCCACTGTGGGCTGAGTATTAAGGACAGCAGACCTCAGAACTCAAGTCTGCAGCCCAAAAGATATCTGTCTAGCTATCCACCCATCCAGCCATTTTTCTGCCCATCTATCATTATCTAACGTCTGTCTATCCAACTGTTTATCATTCACCTATCACCTATCTATTTCTCTATATCCATCACCTATCTCTACCTATAGACAGAGCCACATCATCTGGGAGGTCTCTGGGGACCCAGATGGCGGAGGCATGGGGCAGGTGGGCTACAGTGGGACCAGGCAGCAGCGACGGGCAACTGTCCAGAGCTTCCGATTCTCGGGGAGGAGACAGACAGGGCTGGGTCTGCAGAGTAGGTTTTACAGAACTACTGGACTCTCCCTTTGCTAGGGGGAGGGATTATGGCTTCTGCTAACAGGATGACAAGACAGCCCCAGTGGAGAGAAGACCCCCTTTCTCCAGCGACCCCAAGACTCAACATCACGTTCTAGGTCAAAGACACATGACTCCAAAGGCCAGCCCCCAGGGGCCGGGGCATGATGGTGTAAAATCATGCCTGGATAAAATCTCCGTCTCAAGTGCAAAGGCAGACCAGTGGACGTCAATGTCACAAAGGCTGAAAACTTCACGGACAAGTCTGCAGATTCCAACACCACCTTACCTCTAAGAAACTCCCACCTGTCAGGTTTGGGCGTGGCCACAGTTATCCAAGCCTCCTGCATTGAAAGGCTTTGTTTCCACCAGGCAGGGCGCTGGGGAGGGGACTTTTGGCCTGCGTGCAGGGTGGGAAAACAGAAATAGAACGGGTGGCTGTCCTCCAGCCCCAGGTTGGGGGGAAAAAAAATGCCGCAAAACCGAGTTCATCCTGAAGACGGCGGTGGCTGACAGTTTTATAACAGGTCTGGGAGAAATGTTTACTTCTCTTCCTCGCCTTCCTCTACCCCACCCCCCTTACAACCCACCCCCGGACCCTCCCCCGAAATAACATCCCGACTTCCTCCTCTGCCCCTCCTCTTATACTCAATGGTGTTTTTTGTTCCCTACAAAGTGCTAGACACCCAGATGGGCTCTTTCTAGCACATTCCGTGGCCGATGTGTCCGAACGACCCTCCTGAATGCTACCATTATATTGACCCCAGCGGGTTGGCAGAAAATGTGTTTTTCATTCTGCAGAGCTCCAAACCGCCGCCTGGAACACACAGACTTTTCTGCTTCTCTGCGAAGAATCTGACAGCACACCGCAGCACACGGCAGGATATCTGCCTTTTCTGCCCCAACAATTCTCCTCTCTAAGGCACAGAGGAGGTACAGAAGCATGGAAACCGCTCCCTGAATTACCAAATCGCTCCTCTGAATAAAAAATAACCACATTTTTTTTTTTTTTTCTGAAAAATGCGCTCATGCATGTTCAGGCCCGGACTGGTGCAAGCACGGGATGTCTTCATGATAAAAACGGGACGGGCATCTTTCCCATGGGTGGAGGTTATGTTTCATCACCACATTTCTTGGGAGCTTTTTTTTTTTTTTTTGTCCATGTCGCAGCATGTGGGATCTTAGTTCTCCCACCAGGTGTGGAACCCGTGACCCCTGCATTGGAAGCACGGAGTCCCAACCACTGGATCCCCAGGGAACTTCTCCATCATCACGTTTCTACGCTTTGGAAGTCTACTGTCCAAATCGGATGTCCACTCCAGACCCAAGAGAAGGCAGACAGGACCGAATTGCAGCCCTGGGGGGCCAGGGCTCGCCGAAGTCCCAGCATCTGGCCACGGTCGGCCTGCTGCCCCGCTGCGGGATTAACCCTGGATCTTTACCGGAATAACCAGTTCTGCCTCCAGTCTGACCTCGAGGGGCGAGGCTGGGGGAGGGGAACCACAGGCTCTGTCTTCCCAGAGCCATAGGGGCACGAACTCCCACGGGTCTCCGCGTCCGTGAGACGCCCACGCGTTTCCACGCTGGCCAACAAACCAGCCCATTTAATCTCCAAGGGCTACTTTTATACAGAAGGAAAATTACCAAATCTCAGCGCCCCCTGACTATACTAAACCTCGCCCGCCTCCCAGCTGCTGAGACCCCCATCTCCACCTGCCCCAGGGACACCAAGCTCTCCAGCCCCGGGGGACACTGGGAAGGCGCACCGTGGGAGCTGAGGGGTTGGGGGCGACCTTGCGCGCGCAGAGCGGGGGCTGCCCCGAGCGCGGGCCAATCTGAGCCGCGCCAGGAGAGCAGGGAGGCTGAGCACGAGGGGTCTTCCCGACTCACCCGGCATGGTCTGAGGCCCAGCGCGCCGTGGGCACCGGGCGGCCAAGTGCGCCTGGGCGCGGGGGCGGCCTCGAGCCGGGCCTGGCGGAGGCGTCGTCTCCAGGCGACCCGCGCGGAGCTCCGGGCCTGCGGAGACAGCTCGGCATTCCAGACAGACCCCCGGGGCTGCAGCACCGCCCTACAGCCCCTCCCCCGGGTCAGCCCCTCCCCACCCCGGTCTCCCCATATTCCCTCTGCGCTCCGGGGCTGCCTCTGCCCACACCCCCGTCGTCCCCCGGCCCCTGCCCGCCCGGGTGTCCCCAGCGACCTCGCCGCGCCCCGGGCAGCCTGTGTCCCAGGCTGGCCCGGCGCCCCTCGCCCCGCAGAATACTCTTCGCCCCGCGACCACCACTGCGCCCCCCACCCGCGCCCTTCCTCAGCGCTCGGGCAGCTCGCGCGCCCCAGGCCTCCCGAGCGCCCAGGCCGCCTCCGCGCCCCTCCCCAGGCCCAGCACCTCCACTGCGCCCCCGAAGCTTCCGCCTGGCGCCGGCGCCTCCCCCGCCCCCCGGCCTTCCGCACCCCTGCGCCCCGCCCCGCTCCTCCCCCGCGCTCGGGCAGCTGCAGCGCCAAGTCCCCGCCGCGCCCAGGCCGCCTCCGCGCCGCCCGGCCCCTGCGCCCCGGCACCTGCGGCGCTCCGGCAGCCTCTGCCCGGGCCGGCGCCCCTGCCCTGCGCCCACCGCGCGTCCCCGGCGCCCCAGCGCCTCTGCCCGGCCTGCTGGGCTGCGCTCCGGAAGCCCGCCCCCGCCCCAGCTCTGCCGCCCCGGGCGCTGGTCCACGCGACCGCCGCAGCCCCGCGCCAGGCCGGCGCCGCCTCGTGCCCGGCCCCTGGCGCCCCGGAAGGAGAGCCGGGAGGGGGCAGCGGCCGCCGGGCATCCTCGCCCCGCCCCGGCCCCCCGACCCCTCCCCGCCCAATCCAGGAGTCTGAGGCGTCTGCGCTCGGACATCTCACCTTTAACCGGCCAGCCCCAAAGTAAACGTTTGCAGTGGCCTCCCGGGCCGGGCCCAAGGCCGGCGCGCTGCCCGGGCAGAGGCCACGCTGGAAACGTGATCTTACTGAACGAACGCTCAGTGAGCGAAGGAAAGGGGCATGCAAGCGTGCACGGTGCGTGTACGCAGGAGAGAGTAACTGAAAATCAATGAGTGAGTGATGGAGTGATGGGCACCTCGGCTGCTGAATACGTGCGTCAGGGAGGGAGAGAATTATGAGTGAATGAATGGAGTAGATAAACGAGGGAATACATTTATGAATGAATGCATGCATGAGCGAGTGAATTAACGAACGTGTGAATGCAGGAGTGGACGAATGGAATGAATGAATGCACGTGTGAGTGCATGCCCGCGTGAGTGGATGAGTCGCCATCTGAACCCTGTGAGCCACGGCGGGTTGTAGAGAAGGAGAGAGGAGTGGGCCAGATGCTGTCCTCAGGGTGGGTGCAGCCACTGGCTGGGGCCATAGGAGCGCGTAAGCACCAGGGGCCCGAGAAACCAGGCGGTATCTCAGGAATTCTCCCACCTGCTGGACCTTGCCCATCCAGCACGTTGTCATGTCCTGCGGGATCAAGGGTCCAGGGAACACGGATCGACAGAAGGAATGGACATTCCTGAGTAACGGGGCTTCCTGCTCTGAAAATGTCACCTGGGGGGGGTGGGTGGAAGGCGTCCCGGGGGGGAGGGGTCATCTCTCCACTACACCAAGTATAGCCCCAGCAGGCCTCACCCCCCGCCCCCCCGCCCCGTGTTGCCTCTCCACCGTCTGTGCAAACGTCAACATAGTTTTAACAAAGACAAAGGAGTTCTTCCCACGCGGATGTCCTGATCTCAGGGAACCCGCCCCCTCAGGGTTCCACATTTCACACTTTGGGAACCGGTACAATTTCAGCTCAAGAAGCGACAGAAAAAATCTTAAGAGAGGACATAGCCGATGCTAAACCTCGTCAGCGATCGACGCAGTAAGGCGTGCATGTCACCCAGCGCCCAGCAGACTGGGATCTCTGTCTGGGCTTTTTGCTGGATTTCATGCCCCATGGGGAACAGGGGGCTTTGCAGGCTTAGAAGCCATCGGGGCCCACTTGCCTTGGAATAAGAAGGGGATTCCCCGTGCCATGTGGGGAGACAGATGAGGCAAGAGCCCAGAGCCTCAGGGCATCTGTCCACAGACACAGCACCGTGGATGGATAGCCATCGGCCTCGAGGGACAGATGCCGCAGATGTTTTCAGCATCCTGTCACAGATGGGCTCAGAGCTATCTCAGAAATCGCGTCCAGGTGACAGAGCTGGGCCAGGCCGGCTGGAAAACGCTAGGGCAGGACCCCACCTCATCACGCTGTCTGCAGAACGCAGATCTCGTATGCGATGAAAGTGTGGCTGATGTCGCTAACCAGGAAAAGGGCACGGACCCCTCTGCCCGCCCCCTGGGCACTATGTGCACGTACTTATTATCGGGGTGCTGCAAGATGTCTGCGGGACTTACTGGGCCTCTAGAAGTCTCCCCGAAATCCCTGCAGCTTCTGAACCATTGGTGGAAGCATCAGGATATGAGTAACAACCAGGGGAAGACTCTTCCTGCAGTCAGTGCTGGTTTGGGTTTGTTTTTTTCCTTAACCATTTTTAAAAATTGAAGTATATTTAATTTACAATGTTGTGTTACATTCTAGTATACAGCAAAGTGATTCAGTTACATGTATATTCTTTTCAAAATTCTTTTTCCATTATAGAAAAGAATCTATTGCTTTTTCATAAAAGATTAATACAAAGAATCTACTTCCATTTATTTTCCATCTTGTTCTAACAAGATACTGAATATAGTTCCTTGTGCTATACAGCAGGTCCTTGTTTATCTGTTCTGTGTACAGTAGTTTGTACCTGTTACTCCCGTACTCCTAATTTATCCCTCCCCCATCCCTTTCCCCTTTGGTAACCCGAAGTCTGTTTTCTACATCTGTGACTGTTTCTGTCTTGTACACGAGTTCATTTGTATCATTTTTGTAGATTCCACATGTAAGTGACATCAAATGATATTTGTTTTTCTCTGACTTACTTAATATGACAGTGCTGGGTTTCTGTCCCCTGCCAGCCAACCTGAAAGAGGCTCAGGTGCTTCTGACGCAGCCGGACAGTCTCAGGAAGGGTCCGTTCTGAGCCCCGAGGTCTCCTCAGCCCCCAGCGGCCCCCTGGCTTCCAGAGGAAGGGGACGGTTTCCCAGCCTCTGTGCTTGTCTGACTGTTGTCTCCAGTGTTTGCCAAGTGTCCCCACTCACACGTGCCACAGGGTCATTCCCTTTGGTCCCATTCTGGCCTCTTTCTGCCCCAGGGGTGCAGTGCTCATGTGTGACACTGGGGATATGGGGAAAAGGACCTGCCAGAGCGTTCCAACAACAAGAGGTCCCCTTTGAAACGTCCCAGACAGCGTCTGCGTCCTTCAGTCCACATTGCAGGGTGGTGGTGAGATTCTAAAATTTTCCCTTTGCCCTGGGTTAGAAGTTACCTGCCAGCAGGATTTCCACCTCAGGACCAGGGACGTTCAGAAGTGGGTGACTCTCGGATGTGGGGTGTCCTGTGCACTGGGGTTGTGAAGCAGCATCCCTGGTACCCACACCCCACAAAGCGACTCCACACATCACCAACTGTGCCCCTGGGGAGAGAGCCATGCAGAGTTTCAAACTACAATCGCAGATAGATCATGATAGACAGACAGATAAATCATAGACAGATAGAGATACAGAGATGACAGATCTAGCAGGTAAACGATAATAGAATTATAATAGATAATAGATAGGTAGGTGATAGACCCAAAGATAGATAGATAGATAGCAAAGACCAAAGTCTTTGCTGTCATGGGCGCGTCCTGTGCCCTGTGGGGGGCGGAGCAGCCTCCCTGCTCTCCACCCATCAGATACCAGTAGCTCTTCCCAGCTGTGACAGTACAAGCGTCCCTGGGCATCGCCAAGTGTCTCTGGGGGAGTACAGTTGTCTCTGGTTGCGAACTATAGCCAGAGAGAGAGGGAGAAAGAGAGATGATGGAAGATGATAGATGACTGACATGTGGATAGATTGACAGGATAGATACAC